TAAAATCTAAAATTATTTTTCTTTACGTTTCCCTCTAGTGAACATTGACCTTATTTTTCAAGGTGTTACCAGGGAAATTTTTGTCAAAACATTACCCATGGTTATCTCTAGAAGGTCAGACTTGAGATGCATTTTACTTTTTTCTTTATACTTCTCTGTACTGTTTAAATTTTATGCAACCTGATGCTATCCATTCATCAAAGCAACGAAGTTTTGGCCACAGACTACTTTATTTGTATGTGAATAGCACATAAGTCCACATGTTCCTAAAGTTTATGAGGTCTTAAAAATAGAAAGGAGTAGAAGATGTTAAATGGTATAGAAAAGAAAGTGATGAAGTACATAGAATTTTTATGTATGGGTTGGATATCCCTTATCTGAAATGCCTGGGATCAGAAGTGTTTCATATTTTGGATTTTTTCAGATTGTGGAATATTTGCTTTATACTTACTGGTTGAATAACCCAAATTTGAAATCCAAAATGCTCCAATGAGCATTTCCTTTGAGCATCATGTTGGTGCTCAAAAAGTTTTTAATTTTGGAATATTTCTGATTTCAGATTTCCAGATTTGGGATGCTCAACCTGTAGTAGTAATAGATCCGGTTGAGTGGAAGAAAGTGGGAAAGGATTTGTGGCTACAAATAACAACTCAAGGCTGGAGAGAGAATATGGATAATTAGAATTTACTCATTCTATTTGCTGTAGGGATTCAGAATATATGGCATGGCCATCCTACTTGCTTTTAAAAACAACTTCCATAATACTTACAACTGTGACTTAATCTGGGCTGATCCTTTTGGCAATTGGTTCATATAGAGGTAAATGTTGATATTCTGTTTAAGAGTGAGTAGATCAGAAGCTGGTTCTGTACAAAATATTGATTTTTCCATCATAGCAGGATTTTTACTGTAGAAGAGTAGGAGCTGTCTATAAAAGTACCTATAAAATAAATAACACTATCAAGTAATAAAATGTATAAAAGATGTATCTTGATCATATCCATATGTGCTATGAGCAATGTCCCTGTATGTCAAAAGTTTTGATAAGAACTCCTAAAATAATCTTAGCCTTATTTAATGAAAAATTAAGTCCCTCAAGAAGTGCTCAACTGGAGCCTAGTCTGCTCTGTAACCTGCCTTACAACACCATTCCCTGACTACCACTACAATTTCATTTCACATTTGAGACTTCAACTATCGTATCCTGCAAAAGATCGATTTCTCTACTGATTCCTCCCTTCTTCCTCAGACAGTTGTGTTACCAGCTTCCCAGGTGAAGAGCCAACTTTTTGCCTTACTTCTATTTTTCCTTCCCTACCCAAATAAACTATTACTACTACTACTACTGCTACTGCTGCTACTACTACAAAACTATAGTTCCTGCTCCTTAATGGTTTTAAAGAAAAAACACAGGAATACAGTGAAAACTTTATGTCTAAGTTGGTTTTAAACTACCGCAGCAAAGAAAATACTGACAAAAAGAAAGAATGCAGAGATTAAACAAGAACAGCAGAACACTAATAACTGTTGAAGCTGAATTTATTGAGGGAATTTATTATCTCATTCTCCCTTGTGTATGTTTGCAAATTTCCATAACAAAAGTTTGATAAAAATTAAGTTCAATGCTTAAAAGAACTAAAGCTTGTGGATAGTATAGTATGGGAGGTAACACACATTTCCTACTTTTTGTGTTTTCATATAAAAGGACTTCAAATTTCTGCCTCTCTCCTCCACTTGCTATTCACTTTGCTTAAATAAAGAGCAGAGTGACTAGAGTGACTGATGAGTTTGGAAAGAGAAACTAGGCATGCTCACCTCAGCCCCTTCCTCTGGAATCTGCCAGTCTGAAGAATATTTAATATACACTCAGGTATATGGTAAAGTTTGCATGAACCAGTTAGTTTCTGGTGTTGGATAAGTATGGCTAATTCAGGGGTGAAATAAAACCAAACCTACTTGGTGCAGATCTAAAGCTATACTTTCCAATAACTTTAGTCAGTAAAAAAAAATGGTATTTTTACCTTTTTTAGAAAAAGATTGTAGGGCTCTTAAAGCCTAAGTTCACAGGTAATGAAAGCCTCTAAAATCCACAAACTAGATAGCGGAGTTACTATGATAAGGTTTCCAAAGGTGACATGGAAATAATCAGATGACTTAGGTAAGAGAATGTCACATCCATGGCTCAATGATTAATAAAATTCCATTTATAAATAAAGACTTTTATATGAAGTTACTTTGGGCTAAAAGTATTAATATTTGATGGCATTAAATACATATTACCTTACCTAAGGAGAGACCTTCTTGCTGTAACAACAGCATGAGTGTCATGCAACACTCTTCCATTTGGCTTAATGCACTGGCTGTAATTGTATTCACCTGTGCCTATAGCTACAACTTCATGATGTCCAGCTGAAAGAAAAAGGTGAACAGAAGGTTAATTTAACCTCCTTCTTCCCTATGTTCAGCCCTCACCTCTATCCCATCATTTTTAATTAAATAAAATATATTGATCAAAAGATGGAAAAATAATTCCACATTTTCAAATTAAGAGTCTTAAAGTCTTATAAGTAGCAAAATTTAAAAAGTAGTAGCCCAGGGGGAGGAGCCAAGATGGTGGACGAGAAAACCCGCCAGTCACAATGTCTCTGCAAAAAAGATGAATTTTAGAAGAAAGAGAAAAAAATAAGCTAGCAGAGAAACAGATCGGGTGAGGGTGTCGTGGCCCGTTTCTAGGGACGAGGAATGAACACAAAGAGACACAGACACACAAAGACGATACAAGACTACAGCCTTTTCTGCCGCAGTTTCTTTATTTATAACACAGCCTGTTTGGCAACTGTCCCACTGCAATTTCTTTGTTCCCACACTGTCCCGACTCAACACATCCAGTTCCTTGTTGTTTCGTCCCCGGCGAGCAGATGTTTGGATCTGAACTCTCTAGCCCCTCCTGTCTGCAGGGTTAGGGTGCCCTGGCTCGTTTGCAAGCGCACAGGCATGTTCTGAGAAAAACAAACAGGAATCGTTCCCAGACAAAACGTCCTCTACATGAGGGTCAGAAGGAAGGGTGCCTGAAACCACAGGAGACTCCACGGGAAGACGTTGCGGAGGAGAACTGGAAGGAGAAAGGTCCCGAGAGACTTGGAGACCAGCGACAAGGGTAGGTGGAGCAGTTAACTTCCCCCTCCCTTGCATCTCGGACTGCTGGTGGCTCCTGAACGGCTGGAGAGACCTGCGGACACCAGCCCAGAGACGGCTGCCACCAGTGAGCAGTGGCCTCTTGCGGACTCAGCGCGGGGCTCCCAGCCCCCTAGGGGCACCTTCCCGGG